GAATAAAATTAAGAAAAAAAAAATAACAATTGCACCAGCCGGGAATCGAACCCGGGTCTGTACCGTGGCAGGGTACTATTCTACCACTAGACCACTGGTGCTTGTTATTTGTGTACATTATACCGAATATTTTACTAATAAAAAAACTATAAATTCCAAATAACAACACTTGTAATGCTTTTCGAAACTGTAGCGCCATTTCTTTTTTTTTTACACAATCAAAACATGGATTAAGATACCCAAGAGCACTTGGATGAGATGGTTTGGGTCTCTTTCAGTTTAATCAGTGGTCTCGTGTTCGAGTCCTGAGAATGCAGCAGTATTAAAACTCTTGAAGGAGAGCTTTGCATGGATTAAAATAGACTACAACAAAAATATTGTGACTTTTTAATAAGTGTAATTACATTGATGTGTTTGTGACACTTTTTAGAAACGTTACAAAGATAAAATGATAACAACGTTTTCTAAAAAATAATAATCAAATCATGTCACTTTTTTAAAAATTGTCACCATGTTAACCAATATTGAGTCATTTATTTAAAAGTGTAGCTATATTATGTCGTTGATATGTATGTGTACCTTGAGGTGATTTCGAAAAAATTGTTATTCTCATGGATTCTTTCTCTCTCCAAGCGATCTACCCAAATCAAGAAGAAGAAGAAGAAAAAACAAAAAAAACCCTCATTTTAGTTTCCACTGGCACCAGAGGCGGACCTACATAGGGGCCCGTGTATATATGTTATATGTATAAATGTATTATTATAGTTATTAAAAAATTCATGTTATTAATTATTTTGCAAAGTTATTTCAATATAAAAAAATAAAAATGAAATGTTCAGAATTATTTAACCTTCAATAATATGTTATTTTTAAGTTGTGGAATTATGTTTTTGATATACTCAACTTCTTGTTTATTTCATTTTCCCTCAAAAAATACATAAAAAAATAAAACAAATTCATACATAAACGTATATACTATATAGGGATTGGATCGAATGTGTCTCTATTCTTAAAATGAGAATGCGAGACTCATCCATAGCTATTAAATAAGAAACAAGATATTTGGTCAAGATTTAATATTTTTAATCATTTAATTGGTTAAATATTGATTTGACTGTTGACCTTCGGCGTTGACCGTTAACCGTAATTTGTGCCCCCGGTACTCTAAGATCATGCTTGGATATAAATTTGTTTTTGTTTTGATTTGGGTTGGTTAAATTTGAAAAAGTAGGTATGGTTAGTTGTTAGTTGATATAATAAAATAATATTTAAAATAAAATAATTAAAATTAAATTGATGTAAAAGTAAGAGAGAGAAAATGTGGTGTGATAGTTAGTTAAATTTATGTGAGTAGATGAATAGTGAATTAAGGTTGATGTTGTGTGTAAGAATGATTGATTGATATTATTTAATTATATTAATAATATTGATGATAGTGGGTTGAGTTAAAGTTGAGTTAAAAAAGTGGTTGAGTTAAAAATGTTTGGATTTTTTTGAGAAATTTTTGTATCCAATCATGCTCTAAGTGTCTGCGTCCGCCCCTGACTGGCACTTCCCTACTTTGAGACTTTATGCAACGTCGTCCGTCATCGGCCCGTGCAGCTCGTCTCTCAAAACATCGTTAATTTGTTCCTCTATCGTATAGTGATTCGCCGCTTTTGTCGGTCGGCTATGTCTGGGAGAGTTTTCAGGCGGGTGTTTTAATAAAACTACGAGACTCGTTTCTTTGAGGAAATGATGAATTTAAAGATAACAAGTAGATATAAATAAATGAATTAATTTAAAAATAGTTGTTTGGCTCGTTATTTTTCCCGCAAGTATTGATTTGTACCCAAAAAAATTAAATGCCAAACAAATCACTTTAAAAAAAATGATCAATAGCGGTTCTTCACTTATCCTTGTATGACTCGAACTCGAGACTTAACTCAAATACCAAACAAAACCACTTAGGTATATTCAATTGAAATTTTTAAAGATTTTCTAAGACTTTATAAATCCTTTGTTTTCATTTTAGATTTGTAAAAATCATGAGTCATTTTACTTATTTGAGACTAAAGACTTGGTAAGTCTTTTTAAGATTTTGTGGGATTTTTTGTTTTTTAAAAAAATAACATTACACGGAATCCTATTTCAAATTCCACATCCAAACTTATTATTTCACATAATTCTTCGAAAATCCAAATATTTTAAAAAGTTTCAAATCTTAAAAAAAAAAAATTAAAATACTACTTAAAATCTCAATTGAATACACAATACCGGAATTCAATTGTTTGAAAAGAAAAGTTGGTAACCAAACATATTTGCAACTAATCGAAAAAGTCAAATAAGAAAAAATTCACAAATCCCTCTTTATCCCTCCCCATCTCTCCCTATATATTAATTCAAAATGTGTTGAGGTTAGGTGACAAATTCTCACGTTTCGTCTACTGACATGGCAAAAATCTATACTTCGTGATGTTGTTTTTATATTATTATTGTTTTAGAGTTAGGTTTGGTATTAGACATAAATAACTTCTATCGTATATTTCTTTAACTCAACAATTGTACTAATAACTAATATTTGTGGAGAAACGTGGTAACATAAAGTCCTGTCTAAAATCCACGCGGCACATTTTTGATGCCACGGTATTTGAACTGCGTTTTGATTTGAGTCAGCAGTTGCGAAGACCTCCAATGTTATAATTTATAATAATATAATAATGCATAAAATGCCCCTGCCGCGTATAGATATTTATATGGTTAAAAAAAAAAATAAAATAAAAGTGAGGATTAATGATTTAATGGGACACTAGTCGAGCTTCTATCAGTCTCATGCCCCCAGATATCAAGATGACAGAGTGGACAATTATATTTGTTAATTATTATAAATGATAAAAAAGGGGGTGTCTATATGTACACCCCCTTGTGTGTAAAAAAGGGGTGTACATATAGCACTTTTCTTTGTGTAATTTATTAAAAGGGGGTGTACATATAGCATTGCC